CCGGTTAAAGGATGGATAGGACCTCCATACATTAACGGCCGTTAACAGCATGGAAAACATTGGATTTGCACATGTACTTGAAGGCCATGGTAATCACTTAGGAATGTGAACATGCGACTTTACTTCATTTCTCACTGCCATTAAGGCTGATGGAACAGAAGGTGTCACAGCTGTGCCACTGTATTACTGAACGAAATGGTGTGCATTTTGATCTATTCAAAATCGGTGAATGCACTGTACTTAATAGACCCAACACACGCACGCAAACAAGGGCGTAAGTTTACAAACACACACACAACGCCATATGAATTAAAGAGTGATAATTCTTAGGAAAAATAATATATTTACCTAGTTTGCAGGGAATTTTTTTCAACACAGCTTTTGGTCTTTCAATTACGGCGGGGGTGTCTTTCCGCAATAATGGCTTCGGTTTTGCCGCTTTAGTGAAATGACCTGTCCCTTTTTTGCCAGATATCCCTGGGGCGACACCTTTACAACAATCTTTTCCTTCTTGGAGATTTAACCAGGCAGATTGTACTGGTAGGTTTTTTGGACAACGTGGATCGCCATCCTTTTTAATCACGGAACTGATATTTGAACTAGCACAGCGAACACATTCAGAATCCTTTCCTTGTTCTGGCGATTCTGCCTCAGCTTTAGCAACATTGGATTCCATGTTACACGCAGGAGCACCTGTGCTACATCTGCTTTTTCCTTCTGTTGTCTTCACAGTAGGTAGGTTCCTGCTGCTGTCCTCGGCATCAGTATTCCAACTGCCTGCCACCTTATCCCAACCAATGGCAACGTAATGTGACGACGAATTCGTTGACTGGTGCCGCGAGGTATCAACGGCAACTAGAGCGTCGACGTTATTCTCAGCTACATTAGCACGTTCAGGCAGCACGTATAATTTTGAGACTGCCAAGCGTCTTGATCTCGGAGAAATCTGTTTTACGCTTTCCTTTGAGGATGATTCTTCTCCCACACGTGGATTTATTTCCCAGTGTGACGATCTTTTCGCTCTCTCCACCTCGCTGTGACGATGGTCTTCTCTCTTAAGCACCTGTTCAGTGGTTCCTGGAATGAAATTTGACTAATGAGCTTTACGCTGACGTGTGTTTCATATGGACTACTAATAAAGGAGAAATTCAATTTACAAAATGCATTGAATGCTCGACAGATTCCTTCCTTCACATCACTTTACTCTTCACCATCGGTTTTTAATGATGTCGCCGAGGAAATTCCTTTCAATCACATAGTCCCATTTTTCTGAATAGGGTCTCTCGTGTTCCTGTAAAGTGAAGTAGCATCCGTGTAAATCTCAGCGGAATGTGGTTAGGCTAATTTTCAGAATCCCTGTTTCAATTACTTCTCTGGGTGTTATTGTAATAAAGCTGGCAGCGATCGCCAGTGGGCGTGATTTATATCAAACTTCAACTAAAGACGGTATAGGCAGTAATATAAGATGATACATGTAATACATGCAGCTGACAAGTTTCAAAGCATCACTATCATATCTCAGCAATTGGTGTCCTCGAACCCGTCAGCATTTGTAATAAAAATAAAATCTTTGTTGGTCATAGCACATATCATAAAGGTTATGACCGGACAGTTACATAATATTGACATACGTCGAATGAAAAAAAAGACAAATAATTGCAAGCACACACAAAAGTGTCAATGAATAACTCACTTAAATTATTACACATTATACTGTCAAAAAGCCGAGTTGAGATAGTTTTGAGGCTTGCCCCCACCTCAATCAGTTGTAGATTGGACTGAATTCCTTAATTCCTTTATAATTAGTCTTCCAAACGCGTCTGATTATTTTGTTAATTGACACATTAACTTGGTTAATCTGACAACAACAATTACATCGTAAGCTTCACGTCGAATTTTTGTTACACACGACTTTTGTGTATTAGAAAATAATATATATTAATGCACGCTACATTATTGTGTCAATTATTTAAGAAAGGCCGCAGGAATGGCTACACGTGCAGAGGTCATATCACTTAGAATATTTATTGATCTGCTGGTAAAGGTAGAGTTGATTAAGGTTCCTTGTTTAGAGACAAAATAAAAATCATATCTGTGATCCACAGAAAACAAAAATAAGTGTCCTAGATATTTGTTGTGTCGGAAGAGTTTGATGAACTCTAACACTAAAACAGCCCCTAGTCCATGAATAATTGATATTTAGCGCACGTGTGCATCCATTGGTAATTGAGATGTCATTCATTTTCGTTCATCATACCTGGAGATCACATCTGTTGCTCTAGTGTAAGGCCGCATTCAGAACAGTGGATTAACTAGCCCGAGGGTCAAATATGGCCGACCCACTTGAATACTTCCCCTCGGGGAATTTATTCAGTGTCTACTAGCGGATTAGACTGTAAGCTTTTTAGTGGGTCGCCATATTTGTCCCGCGGACTAGTTAGTCCACTGTTCTGAATGCGGCCTAAGTGCTCGATGTCCTGAGGCTGTATCGAAGCCCGTGACTATCATTTGTTAGGCAGATCTAGTTATAAGCCGTAACAGGTGGCTCACAACTTGGACAGTTTACAAAGCAACCAATCAGGTATGTCCTCCAGGAAAAGTAATGCGTACCATGGCCCATAAGTGCCTGCTCGTACACTTTTTACTAGGGGGCAATATCAGCATTTGCACACACTTTATCATAATTTTCCAAGATTTCATGTCACAAAGAAAATCCTTCCAATTTTCGGCGGTATACACAAATTACTATTTTGTCTAATGGTCATCAATACGCTTCGTAATCCCCCTTCTAGCTTAAAACATTTCAAATCACTATTTCGTATTGGAATTATAAAACATCACCAAATCAAGATTTAATGTCCCGAAGACAAATTCACTGTTGCCTATTTTTCTGGTATAATAAGATCATATTTACGGGCTGAAAATTGACATTTATCAAAAGAAAAGATCAATGTTCAATAACAAGCAAGATAAACCGGCCCAAGGGGTTTATTTGGAAGTAAACTATCTTAGACAACCATTTAAAACAAAAATAAAACTATGCCTGTCGTTTGGCAATGCACTGCTTTCAAAAAGGTTGGTACACTTTTTTTATATCTGTGAAATTTACGGAAATAATAACGACTAACTTGTGTATGACCTAAAAATTTGCAAATATGAACAGTTGGGTCAATGAAGATGCAAGTTAAACAGGGACAACGCATATGTAATCTGAAAGCAAGCTTTTGGATACTCCCATGAAAATGGAGATTTTTGGTAAATAGCCCTCGATTAAAATGAATTATTAATTTGCAGAGAAGCAAACAATACAATCAAAAATTTAGTATATATCATTTGGACCTATCTAAATGCAGTCAATAGTCTTAGGGCAGACAAAGCCCAGGGTGTGGGTGGAAAATACCCATTTTGCAGATAGGCATGGCTTACATGCATTAACCTGTCCGGTTTCGATTGTATATATGTCAAAGCTAATCCAATCGTGACGTTAGTGCACGAAAAGGGTTCGTCTTTTACATACAGTTGAACTGCTTGTGGATGGAAACGAGAGAAGACAAGCTGTGTGTCAAGTAAAAGATGTCACTGCTTATGTTTAATAGATACATTATAAGTGATATTACTATTTACACTTTGTATATATTTGTATCACAGAGAACCACATGGTATTGTACTAGATACCTCCGCCAAGGAGGTTATGTTTTTGTGCAAAACAAACGGCATACATCGCTCAAGAGCGCTGCCAACAAAGAGACGTTATTGTTGCTGTGGTGACATATGTTTTGATGGACGCGCACCAGTAAGTTACACTCATTGCCAATGCTTGATGAGCGAGCATATCGATAAGGACATTAAAAAACGAAGCTAGGCATTCACCGGACATGTAACTTGGGCTCCGAGGATGTCGATGGTGCAGTCAAAACCTTTCGGTAAATTTAACTAAATGTTTTTTAAAGACGTCCTGAACGCAATTTTAGGCTTCGAACGTATTATTTCAGGTCTATTATGCCCATTAGTGACGCAGCATTTGCCTGCCATGGATGTCATTTATAATGAAAAACTGATTTCTAGACATTATATATCCTCCCTGGTCGTTAGGGGATTGTACAGAGGCAACTGATTCGGAAGAATGTATGCGCTCAATTTATTTCTCACCAGCCGTCATAGTCACTGCTTATATGATGCCTAATTATTTACACAGAACTATATTAACGAAGTGCACATATTTCAGGTAATATGTTCGACTGTTGCATATCGGGAACAGCAAGAGCCTGTAGTGAAACACAATATGTTGGCATCATTTAAACAATATTTTCACTTATTTTCTGTGTTATAAATGTATGAGCTCTGCAACAAAGCAAACTGCTTACCTTTACGGGTGTCACCTCACATGCATACAAGTCACTGAATAATTAAGACAAATGTGATATACTTATCCAAAGACACTACCTATTGCTGGTAAAGATAATGGCATGGTATTACGTTTTTTACGTTTTTTTTCAATTTGTGATCTAACTTTCAATTCTGTAAAAATTTCCGCTTACCTGTATAATAGTCATCGAACACTGAATCTGGGCAGTTTAAGTTGTCTGCTCTGTGATGCTCTCTTCTCCAGGCCTCTATCAAGGATAACTCGCTCTTCCTGCAATTCTTGGGGACCCTGTGTCGTGGCAAGGTATCTTCGTTTTCCACAAGCGTGTGCTTAGCGAGACCTATATCTGCAAAGAGGTCTATTTAATGGAAGCAATTTATCAGAACAACCGGCTCCGTTGTTCCAGTCATGAAAAAAAGACAAGTTATTATGATTTACGAGCGTTTTATGTTACAACCAGAGTAGACCGGAAATGAAAAACATCTGCGTTCAGTTTATTACGCGTCATTTCATTAATTAAAGTAAGACTGATACTACTGACAATATCGATTACGAAAGAGTTTCCTATTCCAAGTAAATTCACACCCGTGTAAAAACGCAGGGTATTTTGCTGGAAACAACTGTAATACATGTAATCAAGTCAGTACCAGTGCGTCTCATAACAATAATTCGTTTTTAATTGAAAAAAAAAAACGTGCTGGGTATCATGCATACATTCTTTGAAATCACTTTAATTTACAACGCTGGCAACTGCACCACGTCTTTGGTAACGAATCCTTATTTAATGATCCGACACAGCATCCATTTACTAGACTTCTTGTTGCTTTACGGAAATCTAAGGAAATTAATGTAGATTGATTAAAAACGTCTATTATTTTATGTAATTGTCTTTCGGTACAATATCACATTTTTATCACACACGCAAAAATATTACAGTCCCCGCACTAATATACAAAAACCCGTATTAATTAGTATAAACAAAAAAACTCAAAACAAATCAAGATTGACAAAACGCAAGGCCTCTGCTTCAATTAAATTCTGATAGCACTCTCCATTATAGTTAGCAAACTGCAAAGTGAAACAAGCTCTCCGCTTACTGTTTCTTATATGATTAAGGTGACGTAAAGCTCGGTTGGTAAAGGAGAGTTATCGTCAGCACTGTAAATCCCGGGCAAAAAAAAACTGTGATTAACATTCATCATGGGCAGATGTAATATCTAGCTAGAAGCTAGACACCAATTAGGTCCTTCTTACGCACCGTACTCTACATCTACTGGGACTTGTCAAAAGCGTATGCAAGAAATTCTGCGTGAGGAGTTTAAAGATACTCCTTGTGGAATTTTTGTGCCAACCCTCAACTAACGAATTACTGCTTTATCCGTCCCTGCAATTGGATTTTATATTTTGTACCATTTCTAATCGCAAGACTTCTAAACGCGCCTGGGTTCATTTAGACCGCCATGTTTTCTTGTCGTTTGAGAAGGAAATGTTGACATCAGGTAATTTCATTAGAGATTTTATTATTTTTAAGATCTGAATTGGGATATATATGATAAGCAGCTTTGCAGGACATTTATAAATACATGTACACATATCACTTTTGGAAACTTTCAAATGCACAAAGTATACCTTTAACCATTCAGAAAAAAAAAAGTGCACATTTGACTGACGCACAGTGTACTTAGAAAGTTGGGTTGGGGTAGCCTCCCCCCACGCCTATACATGCACATGACCCGCCAATTGACATAGCCGTGTGTCCCCGTCAACACGAGTTGTGCAAATAAAAACAACGATAGCTGACAAATGTGCACGTACACACAAAATAAAACGGTGAAATAAAACAACCTGACAAAAGTTTACTCGGAAATGATTGTGGTAGAATTATAAACTTGTAATGTACATGATGTCCATAATCAAAATAGTTTTGCATATGGAAGAAAGTTTCCTCAATTAGGCATTTATAAAATCCAAAATTGGAATAAATTGAATTGGTGAATGAAAGAATTATGGCAAAGAACTTGTTGTAAAAATTATACTCTTGCTTTAAATGTTGAATATTTTACTGTGGTCGACTGCACCTCTGCTCTTCCTTACAGCACTGTTTAAAGCATCCCAACAGGGTGAAATCAGAATAAGCAGGCCAGTCTACTTGCTCAATCTCCTTGTCTTTAAAAAATTGGTGTGCTCTGCGAGCATGATGAGGTGGAGCATTATTGCCATGCCGAAACAAAAAGCTTAAACTAACAAATAGCACCATTTCTGTCTCCAGAACCTGCATGTAGACGACGGCAGCCACGCTTTCTCTGAAGAACGCCAGATTGGAATGACCTCCGTAAGGAATGGCATCATTAAGGAAGGGCAACCAATGATGGACAGAACTACCACCCTATATGCTAGTAGGCAACAGTTCTCACCTCGCAGTCTTCAAAAAACCTCTTCCAAAGTTGACATGAAAATGAAATCTGCTAGCAACACAAAAAGAAGAAATCTTGCTTCATCAAAAAAAAAAAAATCAGACGCGATTCCGATGGCGCATTTAACAAAAACAGAGTTCAGTTGTCGGGTCCGTTCCTAGCGGCTGTTCTTCCTCTCTTGGGCCAAAAAATTTTCCACTGAGTTCCCCTTCGCTTTGGCCACGAATCTGAAATCTTCTGTTGTCGGATCTTCTATAAACTCTGGTTTTGATGGGTTTTTGGCCCTGTCCCTGACAGAAGATTGACAATTTGCTGTGACGCATCCTGTAGGGCATACAATCTATCCAGGCTGTAGATTTAATGGTACGACCGGTGTAACGAAACTGAGGGTCCGTGTAACAGAAAGTCCGCCTTCCATTTAGTTATGATGGTTAGGGTTAGCCTGACCTAAGCGGGTCAAAATTTAGGGCAAGGCTTACCTGTACAAATGAATGGGAAGGGGACTCTCTATCTTGGGGGACTCCGTCACGTTACAGGTACTGACGTTTGGCCACATATGTTGTTTGGTACGATGCCGCTGGATGAACAGTCAATTCAAATAGTGATTTCAAAGCAAACAACGTTGGCGCACAAATCACCACATTCACAATTTTTGGACAGGTTTAACGGCCAACAACTGTGCAGAAACATCACGTGACAGTAGGGTTCGTTGTTATATCGTCGTAATCGCTTGGACCAGGCACGGCACCTGATTGATCGATTTTGCATAACACTGTTCAAAAGGAATTGTGTTCACCTAAATAACTTGCCAAAGTCTGCGATATAAAAATGTGATAGGCTTCACATTAGCTTTTGAAATAAGAACCATATCTCTTATTTCTCAGATATTCTATCATTTTAGCAGGAGTGTAATCTGAATAAGAACGTTAAACAAACGTTGGGCCAAATAAAGATTTACACATTGAAGAGGTGCTCTGGTGCATTGGTATCCAAGTTAATCATGATACTATGGTGTTCTCATGCACTAAACATAGCGACATCTCTTTGCTGTGTGGCACAACCAACTTACCTTTTTCGTTCAGTGGATGATTTAACATTGGAGGGGTGTCCTATGTGCAACAAACAATCACCTAATTAACTGCAGCATATTACTTCATTTGGATGTCACCACACACACACACACAAACACACACACACACATACATGCACGCACGTACATACATACATACCACCATAATTACATAATGCTTGTATTACTGCAAATGTTAGCAGATTTATTTTCGTTTAGGCAGAGCGATTTTAATTTTGGAGAGTTGTGTGATTTGGGGGCACCAAATAAAAAAAAAAGGTAATGGACTGAAAATGAAGCAAAAAACGTTTATTTTGCAAAATTTAGTTGATGTCTGACAGCTCAAAGAAATTCAAAATAGCTGCTAATAAGCCACCAATGACCGAAGCATTGTTAAAAGATATCTAAAAAAATAGACTTTAATGACTCTTAAAAATATAAATTTAGTCGATGTGCTTATATTTTGGGCAATATCAGTAAAATGCATCATTATTAAAGTATTCAGCAGAATATAATATTTTACTGAATATATTCATAGGTATTCTAGGGCGCTCTGAGGAATTTTTCACAAACGATGTCCCTTTATTCTGACAGACTTTACTCCGGCACTGGCATGACCTACGACGTTGCCTTGGGCTTTATTTAGCAAAAGCGCGCTATTGTAGGTCACAAGACATCACGGGGGTATTCAGAACAGAATATCCGAGTAACAACTGGTCCAAGGATCAAATATGGTGGACCCCACGCGTCCGGTCAAATGGAGCCGAGATTTAATTACTGTGCCCCTGCAAGGACGATGCGTGTGAGAGGCGAAGAGACCATTACAGGATTAAGCGGTCTTCCTTTCATGTAGGGTCCTCCCTATTTGATACTTGGACCAATTGATACTTGGATCTTCTATTCTGAATGGCCCATGGATGTTTTTCCCAGTGTGCTGCCCACAAACTGTCGCAGAAAGATAATTCTATGTATTAAGGCTATGTCCAAACAAAAATAAGAGGACCTTGCTTTGAGGTGACGCGAAGATCACGTTTGCACAATTATTCGTAATTTAGGAACATCGATTTCTGTTTATTATTACTCAAAATTGCGACAAGTTTGTATACCACGGTGTAATATTTGGTCAATTGCTGGGTGGTTCGTCCGACAGACAATACCGTTACATGCTTTTAAATCGTCATATATTGTCATATCTATTCAACTAATGAAGTCTTGCACCAGAAGCATATCTAAATCTGACAAGCATCACATTCTAGCCGAAAAAATGTATACCTGGGCATTTCTGTCATATGTTATCTAGGACCCAACATCTCATCTTCATCCTAAGTGCGCGCATACTTTACGATCACTAAACCTTACCCTTTTAGATCGAATTCGCTTTCGTTCAGGAAAAGAATATTCATAGTAAATTTTGTTATTGCCATCCAGTCTGTCGTTCTCTTCCACAATGGGGCAGACTTGCGTTTCTGTAATCAATACAATTGCAAATCAAAAGTTCAAGTGATTGTTTTGATGTTCATGGTGATTACATGTCAATCTGAATTTCCAGAGCACGCTGTTTTAAAGAAATTGACAATGACTATTTGTAGTTTATGGTAAATATTAAATGTAAAATATACTAATAAATATTGTTGTTCTGGTGACCGTTATGTTAATTATTTTAGATGAATCACGTTCTACTGTACGTCCATGCAGCAAAGGTATATGAGAGCCTATACAAGTCGTGGTTCCTGCAACGCAATTGTGGCTTGTGTGATCACTAAAGTCAAATAGGTAAACAATTGGATTTGCACACGAACCTTTTCTGAGGTTGAATACACGCTCTGCTCTTTTCTCGCTCATTATTCCGGCGTGCGATAAGCTAAAAACGCCACTGGTTTCACTGCCTTTTTTAACTTCCATTGACGATACTGAAGACCCACGTAATTCTGTGGAAAAAGCACATTCAACAATCTTCACAAATTTATCCAAATTGTGTTTGTTGTGCTTTATTGTAAACTTCTAGAGTGGCTAAATCTTATTGTTACATTGCGCCATTATCAGAGCTCACTTCAAGGTTGTTCTAGTCAACTTACACTGATTTAATTTTAGCGACTGTTTTACCTGGGAGAGTTCTGCCACTTGCCTAGAAAAAAATGTACGCATTTAAGTAGTGTTTATCGCTCTTCCCACGTATATCTTACTGAGATTCAAACTATTTGTACATAACTTAAAAATCCATGTTTTAGCCTACTTCAAGAAAAATACCGAGCCCATAATGTTGGTATCAATAATTATAGACAAAACAATATCTGCTTTGTGTATAACAAAAGTACTTCACATTCATGATCCTATGCACCTTTGGCAACTGAGATAATTAGCTAAACTACTGTGTATATTGCATAATTATTCAATAGTTTGGTTTTTGAAATAACAAAGATTGCAGTAATACTCACCATGGTCTTCAGGCACAACATATCTTCATCTTCCATTGTGGTCAGCAACAAATTGAAAATGTCTCTGTTATGTCTTCTGATATCTTGCGCTGCTACTGTTAATTTTACCTAAAATAATAAATCAGCGTTAATTACTTTTGTATGGTATGGGGATAGTGTTAAAGGCCATAGCAAACAAGTACGTTGCCGCACCATATGCTCAGAAGCAAATAACAGTCCTGCTGCACTACCGGTACCGTGATAAATTGCAGGAGTTAGAAAACTTTGTCTCACAGCGTGTGGCGGATGTGCATAATATACTGGTGAAAATTAACATGCGCTGCATTTCACACTCGTACACTTATGTTCTTAATTAGGACAGAATCTTTTACAAGTTGTATGGTAACTGCATATACAGTACTTTATAAAGCACTGAGGCTTATTAGGATAAACAAATACCTGTACGTCGTCATGAAATATTGAATATCACAACTGGTAAATTTTTTATTGCCAATGTTTTTTTAAATTTGTTTTAATTCATTTCATTCTTTCTATTTTTCTTTCTTTCAAAAGACCGGTATTTCCATTACCTTCTCCTGCATAACTTTACAATTGAATTCTACGTCCGCCAAAAGGCTTCTTGGTTGTTTCAAAATGGCGAAGACGTTGAAAGGTCTGCAATGGCAGCATTGGTACCGGGAAGGCAGACGGGAAGGGACTGCATTTGAAACCAAAATCAAATCGCTTTAAGCCTCATAACTGTGCATCATAAACCAATTATATCTAAAAGGTTACAGTTTTATTGATAACAGCGATAAACTCATTAGTTGGTAAGCAAAATGAAGGACACAAAAATATACACTTTGTCTGTCACCTCATTTTTGGCATTTTTGATGTCTTAAATCTTTCTGCTTTCTTTTATAATACTTTGTCGATCAAAGACAGGTAACATTCTTTTTCACCTAATGTGAGGATGTGATTAATGTATATGTTGTAAAGCAAATTACTTACACTTTCACTAATTGCAGATAACAATTAAAACGGAATCAAAAGAGTAAAAGGACAGAGAGTTATTGAGTGTAAGTTAAGTTTCTCCAAGAGTCAACAAGTGTAGAACATGTTTTTAGTGTCAGAAAAAGATGGAAAAGGTCAAAATCAGTAACAGTTAATGTGATTGGTTAATGTCATTACATATTTTAATTTTGATCATCTATTTATCACATGATAACTGAGTTTTGGATAAGGTCCAAGCATGAGTAATCCAAATAATATTTTAGATATCTTTAATTGAAAACAAGTATCTTAGGGATTACCTAATAAGGAACTGTTGCATGGTGACTTGCAACATGCGAATGGAAAATATTTTGTAATATTTTGCAAAGACAATGGTAAAGAAAACAAGTAAATGCGTGATCAGTAGAGTGAAATTGAGTATAGATATTTTGTGAAGTTGTATGAAGAAAGAGTCGGTGAATAAACGTTCGAAAGCTCCAGACTGCTGTCGTCATTCTTCACTATAAAATATATAACCGCTCACAATGGACATATTTGACGAAGAATGGTGCAGCTTAAGAAAAATTACAATGGTGTGTGTGTGTGTGAGAGAGAGAGGGAGAGAGAGAGAGAGAGAGAGAGACAGGGAGAGAGAGATTATTAATTTTTCATATTTTATTAAAAAATCAAAAGTTTCTGTGATATTGATTGCAATGTCTTTAAGATTACATGGCAACAGGTAGACCTACATTGTACCACTATAGGTTACACATAGACCAAATGCTGCAGTAGAAGTGAAAAGAATCGTAGATACCCTGATAAGTTAACTCCAATCCACACCAATTAACGACGGGGTTCACAAGAGTGCACACTTCATACAGTCGGTAGTTATCAGCCCAATTGACGGAGATGGTTACCATTATTACGTTGTACTGGTACACAATCCCATAATCGGCGTTCTCCTGAAGAACATGGGCTGGTGGGTCGATCGCAAGGGCCATGGCGCAGGACATGGTGATTTCCACGCCGTCCATGCTTTTTAACTCGATGCGGCTCGAAGTCATGGGGTTAATTCTCCCTTTTATGTCGATCTACAGATGCAGACGGTTAAAACGGTAAAAATTGGCAAATGTCAGTGAAATATGCCGTGCCAGTGTGTTTAAACCTAAACGCAGAACTGGGGCCTGTTTTACAAAAGACCACCAAAATTTCAGTCTTCTTTGGCCAAAGATACTACAGAAATGCAGTTTGGTAGCATAAAGACATGATTTATGTTTCAGATTAATACTTTACTTACGTGGATTACAATAGATTTATTTTTAACTTACGCAGAAAGATTTTTGTCTGACAGAGAAATCGGCTCTGGGATCTGTTTCACAATAAATCTATGTAATGTAGTCTTAGCTGGCTGAACTTTGTTGCGCAAGGTTTCTAAAAGTTTTTCCTCGTTTTTTTTTCCCTTGAGCATTTTGTGCTTTTACTCCAAGTGATGACAGTAGTTCATCTAAATATGTTAAATATATTCAATGTGGACAAATCATTCTTAAAGGCTCACGGATCAGTAAAGCAAAGCCGTCTATGCGATATCGGGTATCCGGTTTTAGAAGTCTTATTCTGGCCCAAGGACTAAGGATATTTTTTTGTGAAACAGGCAATAGGCAATAAGATCGCATTTCATTGAAATGAAAAAGTCAGATAGACAGATTCGTGTATTATTTCATTGATTCAAAAATCAAGTCCTGTGGTTTTTTCTATTTGCTGAACATCTTCCTTAAAACTAATTTCAACGGCATAAAAACAAGAGACCAAGATGATATAATTTTAAGATTGCTCTTCGTATTGGCACATTTCCAAATAAAAATAAAAATTAAACATTTTGTTGTAAAGATAAACCTACTGGCATTTGACAAAAACTGCCTGGCCAAATGACAGAATAATACAATGAATGTAAAGGTGTCTTACCTGCCTGGACAATATACTCCTTTGTCTTTGTAGGGGATACTTTACTGTACATGGTGAACCCAACTCCCCTTGCCTCGAATGTGTGGGCGCTGCTTTGTCAAGTACAATTATCTTTATCATTATCATGATATATATATTCACTTCACTTCACTTCACTTCACGTACGCTTGGTTTATCACTGTTATATAAGCAAACGAAGCCTTGCAGTGCAGCGTGTTAACAAACGTTCTAGTGTAAGACAAAGGGTGGACTGGTATCACACTAGATACATGTAGATATCTCTGATTCAGCACGTGTAAACGTGAGCCTCGGTCATTTTAAAATAATGGAAAAAGTACGAATAAAATTTTGATATTACAAACATACAACGCGGTATTTCATAGCTATGTTTATACATGTACATTGTACACTGTAGTAATAGGCCCCTACCGTATGTTCCTTAATGTATCATCTGTTTCAGAATGTGATATTAAAGCTACCAAGCTACGACACAGGACTTCTTTTCTAAAAAAAATAAATAAAAATAACTCAATAATTATACAAATAAACTGTCATCCACTTACCTACAGTATTTTTGGCACAAATTATCCCCATCCTTAACTCTGCTGCCGAGCCTGTGAACTGTGAGGCACAAGTTGCTATATAGAAAAGAAAGCCAGCCAACGCCGTAAACACGAAAAATCTACATGTATAAGTACACGCGCAGTCTTAATATTCTTATAGCACAGGAGAATTGTTGCCCTTCAACAAAATGTTACTGACGATGATAAATCCAGACACATCTCTCATGTCCGGAATTTGAAGCCTTATGCTGCACAGTTTCAATTTTTCTCTGTGATTATATTATGTGCGGATATATCAAATGCTGTTAACAAGCGAGAATACACTAATGAACTAAGTGTTTCGCCTTTCATATTTTCAACTGGTATGGCTACAAATTCAACTGATATTGAGTTTTGCAATTGATTAGCATAATTAGCTCAATTTCGTGCATTAAGCATTTTACAAGTTATTTAGACAATTGGCAGTGGTGTAGAAAGCAGAGAAATGTAAAATCGGTATTTTAAATATCCAGACAATTTTGATAAAGTTGTTTAACGAATGCGACCACTCCTGATTTCGTGGAAACCAGAAATTTTCGCACCTACAGTATTATTTTTATAGCAAAATATACAGTTGTACACTGGGTAGGCCTATTTGTTTGGTAGGTGGGCGAAATTTACAATTGACCCCAAAGCTGAATGTTTTTGTTTTATGCTCTGTGGTTTTGGTATTTTCCCTCTTGCAGTGAAAAAAAATAACAAATATCCAATATAAATTACCCTGAATTTACAATCATATTAAAAAAATACATTTTGTCTATCTTCATGTATGCCCCTACCCTGTTTTACAAAATAACCAAGTTATTCAATTTTCTCGGGCCTAAGAGAAATGTATAATGCTACCATTATGCTACCGTTTTATTGACATATATTAAGGCCATATTAAAGAGACCAACTTGAGTATAATTATGAATTTGTTTTTGTTACGCTGATTGTACATGTATATATCTTATGTATATTCTGGGCTTGTAAAATAAGTTTTGCTTTCTGCATAGTGCGTGAATTCATGTGAGTTTCTGGGTGCATATAAACATTAAACTATAGTGCATATAGTAGGCCGTTTTTAACTCGTGCGACCCCATATCGATTGCTATCTCACCTCAAAGTAGACAGGTGTTAAACTGACGATAAAAGTTTTGAGTTGCTTATACAATGCAACGAGAAATATAAACTCCAATATTGTACATTTTTGAAGGACTTTTTATTGATTTAAATTAGCATTATTGAATAATTGAATACTTAGGTGCAAGAAAAACCTCATGTTAGATATCTGGAGAATAATAAAAGGTTACAATACCCTTAAACAAAAATTTACTAGTATCTATATCATATCAAAGGACAGAGGATTGGGATTGTCTTGGAGCAACGCATTCAACTCTCCTCTTTTGGAGGAAAATTGTTTGCACACCTGTTGCTGAAAAGTTTGCGGGACATACATGCAAACTGAAGTGATATTTAGATAACTGTGGTACCGTATGTGAGTTTGCACTGTTGGGGGAGAACGAGAGGGTTAACAGGAGTAGGTATTATACTGCAGAACGTATTTTGACTATGCACGTCATTAGTTTTGTTTAAATTTCCACGCCCTTGTTGTAATCGTCCAAGAAGTGTTTTACTTCCTTGATATAACGATATCATAATACAGTAGACTTGACAGTTCATCAGTCACTCACATTCTGCGAGGTCAGTGATAACAAATACTATAAAACACATGTAGTCGGGATTTAATTGTGGTTTACCACTAACTTGTCATATATCTTGTATCATAGCCTTCAGTGAGCAGTGCCCTGCACATGCAGTAACAATAGCCAGGTCAGGGCTTTCGATGTTACGTTTAGGAGGGTTAAGTACGCGTAATAACTCAATGATTAACTGTAATGTAAAGTAAACTTTTTAGAATTGCAAATGAATTAATGAATTAAAAAGCTGTTGTTAATGATATTGGATAAGATCATATTTTGACATCACAAGTATATTTTGTTGGCAAATGGCATCAGCACTGCAACTAGCAGTAGACATTTACAGTACGTATGTATACATAAATTTGAATACTTATATAGTTACTGGCCCTTATAATCAGCTATGTAATATTGTAAAGTCTGTACATTTAAGGATGGAATGATAAGTGTGTCTTCTGAAAAGATGATAACTTGTTGGTCTTAAAAATAATATCAAATTAACCATACTATATAGTATTTGCAGGTGCTATATGTGTGTACAGTACAGTGCTTAGGGTATGTTTAGATGTTTACATGCAATATTTAAAGTATAAGAACAGGATGCTTGTTAAAACTCCTGCCAGCTTATCACTGTTAATGCATTGATACTCTGACAGATACACATACCACGGTGGACATATTGTTGTATTTTAGTATTTATATACTTCCATAATACAGTAAGTGCAGTAGTACAGCATGTGTACATGCCAATTTTGGTGTTAAGAAGTAGCAGGTCTGTAGGTGTGAGATTGTGCTAGCTCATGCTTTGCTGCATGCTGTTCTATTTTAGATATTTAATCTAGCCAGCCAGAGCTTAACTCTAGTACCATTTGGAAACTCACACAAACACACAAGCTGAGTCAATCTAATAGGGAAATGGAATTCATGTTGCTTAGAAAGGTTGTAATTTCACAAATGACTGGTCAGTAGATTAACTTGTATAAAAGTGGAAATGATGTGCAAAGAACAATAACAGGTTTGGTATGCTTATTGTCCTGATGCCCTAAAAGTATTCTCATAGATGGAATATTGTTTATGTCGGTTATTGTCATATTGGCTTGATGACCATTCCTTGAGTATTGTCCTATATGCTCAACAGTAATATTTTTTCCTTTTTTTTTAATTTGCAAATAGCAACAACGGCAAGTGTCTTTGTTATGATAATGATATGATGGAAATGAGCCACAAGTCTGAGGTTGTGGTTTAATTACTATTTATAAATTGTGCATCAAGTGGTATAGATATATAGTATATATATGTGCCTGAACATTAAAACAGCACATATTACAATATATATTTGAAATGCATCCATGTCATATGGATCAATTATTCCCAGGATGATATGATATGCTATGGTTATCACATAATTCATACTGGCAATAAAAGCAAAGGTCGGGGAATTCTAAGCATCCCATCATGCTAGTTTGAATAAGGCGACATGCAATTCATAAGCAGTAAAGAAAATCTATGTGGCTGCCGTTTCCTGCTTTAAGAGTGATTGTAAAGCAACTCATCATTCGGCACAAGACTTTTGGATTGATTAATTCTTTTTTCATATACATGCAAGCGTTTACTCCACTGTATTGTAGCAAATGGCTTGTTGCAGGTGAGTAGGTATACCTTACTTTGCTTGGTGAGATGTAAGTGAGACAATATAAATTTCTACACATATGAATATATTGTCATGTCTTTGGAGAGTATTTGTAGCAATCACACATGATATCTACAGAAAACACATGATGTTCTGAACTCATTATTGGTAATTTGTCTTTGGAGGACCAGCCAAGACCACTTTGGCAGTTTTCTTGTTTACAATAGAAACAGATGTACGTGTGAAATGGTCAACAGCCTAGTGTTAGACCAGGAAAGTTATTAAAAAAGGAGGAGGAGGATGCATACATTATGGGTAGATTCATGTACAAAAGAAATATTGTAATCATTAACTTGGGAATAAGATTGTGAAAGCCTAAGCAAGGTATTGTAATTCACAAAGTACAAATAGATCCCACCTGCAGTCAGCTAAGTGGCTTTGGTGATTGAAATGTCAGAGCACACCAATGCAGTGTGTCCCTGGTGTGATGTGTCTAAGAGTCTCAACCGCAGGAGAAGCAGCCACTGCTTGGAGTATATTTCTATCTTAGGTAAGGAAACATACAGTGCCTGTAGAAGGCAGATTGTTGCCAGTTATAAATAAGCACGCAGGTTGTGGTCACTTTTTATGGTAGATTTCATTTCAGTTTTCACTTTTGGAAGGGTTCAGGTATACCATAGATACCCCAATAGATAACAAGGATTATGTATTAATATGCTTAATATGTTGAGATATGCAGAAATGTGTTGTAATTTTTCTGGTCAAAGCAAGATTTTCTCATTAGTAAGAATTTTTATATATACAGACATTAAGTGTCTGTATATATTTTGATCGGTCTGTCCATGTCATCGCTGTCGCTGGTGCTGTCGCTGTCCCACACATGACTTTCGCCCCATCGTATTTATGTTTTACTTTAATTTGACCGAGTTCCTTTGTTTGGTAAAGAAACAGGTTACTTTGGAAAATTGGCCTGATCTGTTGACATTTATGGTAATTATTCTGTTTTTTTTTTTTTTTTTTTTTTTTTTTTTTTTACAATTTTGGTGACGTTCGCCCCATAACTATCAGATCACATTTTTCTTTTACTTTAAATTTACTGACTTGGTTTGTTTGGCAAAGAAACAGGTTGCTTTCAAAAAATCGGCTCAATCAGTTTACATTTACGGTAATTATTCTAGTTTTTTGCATAAATTTGGTGACGTTCTCCATGTAACAGCTGAACAGTATTTTTGTTTTACATCAAATTTACTGTTTAGCTTTATTTGGCAAAGAAGCAGGTTGCTTTCAAAAATCTGCATGATCAGTTTACATTTACGGTAACTATTCTGTTTTTTTTTTTTTTTTTGTTTGTTTGTTTGAATATTTCATTTCACACATTAGCATTTTCAGTGGCTTTTATAGCCGATCAAACCCAATTACTTGCTAGTTTTTCAATGTCTATGTTAACTGTAGTACATAATGTGAGAGGGTGAGAATGATTATGCTGTTTTAAAGCATTACATAATAGTGCATCAAAATTGAACAAACCATTATTTGGTGCACTCCTTTCTGCGTCTGAATGTCTGAACATTTGTCAGCTTTGCTGCCTTGTTTCCTATATGTTGTCTGTATATTTGTCAGCTTTGCTGTCTAGTTAAGTTTTCTTCCCTCATGGTAGATAACCTTATTTCTGATGACTGTTAAAATACATCAGCTACCAGGTGTTACTGCAGTCAGTGCCCTGGCAGTTAGCTCCCCCTTATCCCCCCACCCCCACCCCTCCTCTATACCTGTATTGAGTTCAGAATTTTAAAAGAACTCTAATGGGCTTCATTGGTTGAGAGATCAGCAAAAGTAGTGTTGTTTGTTTGTTTGTTTGCTTGTTTTTGAAGAAAGCAAGAAATAAATCTTGGTGCTAATAATTTTACAGCATTATAAGAAAGATTGGATTTCCAACATCTTGGGGCAGGTCTCTTCTGTAAGACGAGGCCATTTGATTATTGTAATATGAGAGGTATGAAAACAGAGTTTAAACAAATAATTTAACAGGACATTCCACAATATTTAAAGTGTTAATGTTGGAGATGACAAAAAAGCTTAACTCATTATGACTATCCAGAATTGTATTTTAAAATTGGCCACTGTATGACATTTTCTTATCAAGGAGAGCAATATACCGTATTCTATAACAACAACAGAGTAGAATATGTCAACTGCTGTCACATTAGAGTTTTGTATAAATAGGATCAGACAGTTGAGTTTTCTAGCATAGATTGGTCATAAAGATGCTTTTAAGTTATGACTTCACTTAGAAGATTGTTTCTGCTTTTATTTATCTTCTCTAAAATACTCTGGAATGATCCCTAACTGTGTCAACTATTGCCAAGTATTATAGTTACAGTAAATCTTATGATCAATATGTGGTGAATATCGTAGAAGAGCAAAACATCTGTTGATTTTACTGTGATTGTAATATTGTTTGCAGATATTATGTTCTTTTAAAAAGGGTTTCCACCATGCACTTATCATCATGTTTCTTATTATTAAGCACAATCATCTACATACAAGTAGTATCATACTTTTGGTTACTACCAGTATGGTTACTTTTCACATACTAGTAAGTAGTAATGAATAGATTGTTATCATTTTGGTCATGGATGCTGTATTGAATTTAGTTCTTTTGCATTTGAATCAAAATTGTTTAAAACAAATCCATGTTATAAATGTTAGCAAACATATTCATACAGTAGTATTTGATAACAAAAATGTCATGTTTCTATAATGCTCACAAGTATTGTTAGTATCGTTCTTGTTATTATGAGGTATATTCATTCAGTATAATGTGCACACGTGGATACACACCATATCACATTATATGTGTACAATATATTGTCCTTATTGTGCTGTTTGAACTGAACATATCATGTTTGACCTATTTAGCCATTACAATCCTAGGTGTAATTTATTAATCTACAGACTTGGTGATTAAAGTAGGCAATTTCCTCCATCACAGTAATTGCCGCAGCTTTAATAGTGCGTGCACATATCTCTAGCTATCAGTCACTTCTTCCAAAGCAGGTAGAGAGGGGGGCAGACCAAGGCACTGGGGTAATTTGTAATGGGGAAAGTTGCACATGCAAGTGCTTGATACCCGCACTGAGCTATTGTACTGCACTGTCTCTTAAATCAGTTTTTCAATTGTATATTTATAGATATGGGTGACAACATTGCTGGGTTAACAAATGGACACAGCAGCTCAGCAGAATATGATTTTTTGCTCAAGTTTCTGGCATTAGGTAAGTAACTTAGTACTTGGAGTAGTGTACAATTTTTTTTATTTATTTTTTATCAGTATACTATTAAAATACAAGGTAGCAACTTATTAAAATGAGCAGTTCTTAATTAAATTGCTCATCTTAGTGTGTGTGTGTGTGTGTGTGCGTGCATGCATGCGCATGTTCCCTATGTTGGTGTCCATGTGAAAGGCAAAATCTGGGCTTGTGTATTTGATACCTATTATATGTCATCTATTATTTTACAATCCTTATATAAAAGGTACACAAACATACAACAGATGGACATATATAAATACAGTACAGTGTCAGCTGCCACAGACCATTTCATACTGCATGTAAGCCAGTATGGGCCAATAGAAACATTATACAGATTGTGTGAGATTATAATGTTTGATATGTATATAAATGACACAGTGCAGACCTAAGGCTGAAGAATTATGCATGCAGTAGGTGCTGTATGCTATTTCACTGCCAATTTAGAACAATCATAAGATAATTCTTAATATTTTATGGATGCAACTGGGGTTTGTCTTGATTTCACATCCAGAACAGTTATTGAAAATTATATATATATATATATATATAATGAAATTGAGAAAGGTAAAAATTTTAACTGAAAAAATTGAATAAAAAAATCATGAATGTTGAATTATTTAATGCATGGTAAAAGCTAAGTGTCCTCCTTAGGGATATTATGAGACTGATGTGGTGTGCTCGTAGGCACAGCTAATGGGCATGGATCACATTCCAGCCACTTGTATTAACAGTGGAACTTGTAGACAGTGCTGTCACAAATGCAATATTTATTGATGCTGGTGCTTTCAATAAAGACTGAAAATGAAACCAGAAACCAATCACAAGCCTAGTAGTGTCTCATTTCTATAAGAACAATATGCTATTATTATTCCTAATCTGTTATTTGATTACCTCAACTTATGAAGCAAGTCACAGTATCAACATTTTGAAGTGATAAAGTAGTCAGCATTATTTGTTGTCCTTGAGTGAAAGTGGCTGGCATTAACCGTGATGATAGTTATTCTGATTACATTTGCAGCATAGAATATTGAACTCCCTCTAATTACGTTGTTGGTTTGGGGAGGCTAGGTTAGGTTAATGCAGGCTTGTTTTTTGACAGTTTAAAAAAATATATATATTGCATTGCAATACTGGAAATTGAGTCTTGACTATGGGTTTCGGCAGATTTACCTACTGGAAGATCTCCAAATTTACTCATTTACATCACCAATCATCTGCTACAAAAATTACAAAATATTTCATTGTCAAAGTGATATATAACTCATATTTTTTTCATTGTTGATAGTTAATATTGTTAAGATATGGAACTTCTCTTCAGCAATGAGTAAATTGTTATTTAAGATAAGGTCAATCTTGGGTTAATCTCAGAATCTCTTTACCTTCAACACAGCCAAGAAGGTTAATAGGTTGCAGATAAAATCTTCTGGTCATTTGCAAGCCAAGGGCATTTTTGTCCCAGGTTCTATCGGGTCCGAACCTTATCTAAGCTTATTTTCTTCCTGACACTGGGAATCCTATATATTCCACTGAAACAATTCACTGGCCTTTTTCAAAATGTTGCGAACCTTTTTGAACTGTGATCTGGAATATATAATGATTTTATTGTGATATGTATATGGTTTATGTGCTAATAGTCTCAGTTTACTGGTCTGACTGGTGTTTGTAGGCAGAGCTTTACCCAGATAACTTGATGGTTGCTAAACCATTATTGATAAATATACTGTGCTGTTTCAACAATTGTCCAGATCAATCATTTAACAAAGCTTTATTTTTTTATGATATCAAGGGAAGAATACTGTGATCCATATCAATTAACGTACATGGTGTATTGCATTTGCAACATTCATTGGCTTGAATATATACGTTTTTAGAACGCGTGTCAAAAAGGATTTTCTGTGGATTAATGATTGGTATTCAGAATGTATATAAAAAACCCATTCTGCTGAGTCACTGATGCCGGAATGGTATAGTGATTCTATAGATGGCACTTCAACTTTGACATTTAATCTGTGAAAAAATGTTTATACATTTATATGCTATTTTTCATGACCCACTGTGATGTATGATTTTCTACACATCATTGTTCCATTAGAATTTTGCCACCTTTCTGGCAAGCTGAGAGAATTACATTTTTCCATTCTTGCAGTTATGGGAATTGATTTTCCTTTATGTTACCTTTAAAACCCTATAAATTACCACTAGTAGTCTAACCCATTACAAAGATTTGCTGTTATCACCACACAACTATTTCCATCACACAACAATTTCTACTTGAAGTAGATATTATCAATCACAATACGTATTGAAGCCATGGTCGTTGGTCATAGGGACACCTTATATTACATATTTTGAAAATGTATAATTTTTATGCTCCTGTTATGACAATGCTGTTGTTTTTGTGCATTTATAACAATTACTAAAGTCAGATGCAATGCACTTCTGTTGTTTTTGTTTTCCCCCCCAAAAAAACGAATCATATGTCAAGTATATCTTACAACTTTGTGTGAATTTGCTTTTATCACCTCTCATTTTCCAGGTGATTCTGGTGTGGGGAAAACCAGTTTCCTGTACCAATACACTGACGGAAAATTTACTGGTAAATTCATCTCGACAGTTGGTATTGATTTCCGGGAAAAGAGAGTGGTGAGTGATAGGAGAATGTTATCTCACTCTGGAGAGAGACTTTTTTGTTAGTCATTGTCATATGAGAAATGCTCTCAACTTAATCATTTTACTTGGAATCCATTTGTGATAGCTTTAGAAATAGAGGTCAATTATTTATTAAAGTTTCAGTGGTGAGGCAAAATTAGATTATAAAAAACTGTAAACATTGAGTCATTTATATAATGTGCACTCTCAGTAGAGGATGTGTAAAGTATTTAATTCATTTTACATGAAGCAATTCAGTTCATGTTTGACTTTTTTTAGTCTGCCATTATTCAGTATACCAGTGCACCGCAATATTTTTATAACCTGTTAGTATGTGGGGATGTATGATATTAAATGTAGAATACAAAAGAAATAAGACATTGAAGTCCTGTAAACAGCTGACACTGAATTACATTTTTATTAGGTACACCGTAGCCCAACAGTAGATGGCACTGTGGGTAGAAGTCAAAGAGTACACCTGCAGTTATGGGACACAGCAGGACAGGAAAGGTAAGAGCAATAGATGGCACAGTGTGCAAATTTTATCTGCAGTTATAAGACACAGCAGGACAGGGATAAAGAAAAGTAGATGGCACAGAGCATTGGTTTCAAAGACTACATCTATAGTTACAAGACTCAGGGGGACAGGGAATATAAGCTCTGAAGATGACAAATAAACCCAGGACAGGCTGCCATACATTTCACAGACCAGCAAATGTCACTGTGTCACATGTAGCAGCACCATGCAACTTCAGGCCTACCCAACTACCAGACTGGACACCGCATAATCTTGAATTCACCGGTAGATCGGACCACACTACCCGTTTTCAAGGTGTGTATCAGTACGCGCTTCGAAGTATCAGGCGCTGCACCGCTCTTGCCTAGTACGCGATGTGATAGTGATGATTCTCAGTGGGGTTGGAAGGTAATGCATCTCATCTCAAAATTTGTGCCGGGGTATGATACTGTGAAATGCGTACTGATGCACACCTGGAAAATGGGTAGTGTGGTCCAATCTACCGGTGAATTCAAGATCATGCGGTGCCAAATCTGGTAGTTGGGTAGGCCTGAACTTACAGTGTACATGTAGTCATCTTTTGAAATTTACCAACTATGATGGACAACTTTTAAAGGTACCATTAATCAGCATAGCATAGCATTGGCAATTTGGATGCCATTACTTTCAAGTAATTTAAATTTACTTCCAGATTCCGTAGTTTAACGACTGCTTTCTTTCGAGATGCCATGGGTTTTATTCTGCTGTTTGATCTGACCAGTGAACAGTCTTTCCTGAATATTCGTAACTGGATGGCACAGCTGCAGACACACGCTTATTGTGAGAACCCAGACATTGTCCTCTGTGGCAACAAAGCTGATCTGGAAGATCTGAGAGTTGTACCAGAGGAGAAAGCTAAGGCAATTGCTGAAAAATATGGGTAGGTTTTTAAGTTTGTGGGTTATGTTTGTCTTACTCAGCACAGCAACCCATCATGTTTATTTATTTATAAATGTTGTATTATTTATTTGTTTTTTAATTGTTTTATTTTTGTATTTGTAAAAACAAATTTTGCATCTTTTTTTTTTAAGATGACTGAACTGTGTTTTTCAGTCTTGCAGTAATGAGCACATATTTTATATATGTTAACATAATATAAGAACCTGTGTTTTCTTATATGATTTGGTTTTATCAGTATACAGGCGTGCCTATATGTCACCCAAAAATACATATTCATAAATTTATAATCATATTTTATCGTATTTAACCTGCCCCAGACCCCTTCCTACCAACAACTCCACCAAACCCCTCAAAGCCCAACCCCCGGCCCACTCCAACTTCTTCCAACCACTATTCCACCCCAACAAGTTCAGGAGATATGACCTGCCTCAGCCTAGAAAAAGGGACAGTACCAGCAGATAAATAATTATGTAATTACGTCAACTTACATTAAGCGGTAATTAACTCCTCGTTGTGCATGAACAGGGTGAGAAGCCGCTTCCGATAGACAAGCAGGGATTGATTAGCATATTTGCGCACATAGCACTGGCTTGACGTTCCTCATTTGCATTGCCATTGTGTTTTCCCTTATAATTATCTCATCAGACTACGCGTACACACGTCATAAAATGATCAATTAGTTGGTGCACGACATAATAATATTATTTATTTCTTAAAAACCACTCTACACTACAGTCTCGGTGCTGTTTACAAATAAAATTATCAGAATTACAAGTAATTATGTAAATAATAAAAGCTAAGGTAAAGAAAATAATTAAAATAATTAATAATAGTAATGGTCTGAAACAATAAAACGTTTTTCTGATAAAATGTATAGTTCAAGTATTAAATATTAGTTGAAATACTGTGCAAATAAGAAAAATATGAATTCACCTCTGGTGAATTTAAAAACAAACAGCAGTAATTTAAAATCAGTTCTCTGTCATACGTAAAGCCAATGTAGTTTGAATAAAATAGGTGTTTGATCTGAGAGGGGTTTTGGTCAGTAGTCGTGCTGCAGCATTTTGGACAAATTGCAGTTTTTCAATTTGGTAGGTAGGAAGACCATACAGTAGACTGTTTCCGTAGTCAAAATGTGAAGTTAAGAAGGCATGGACAAGCCTCTCCATTTGACCTTTGTCAAGGATATGGGATAGTTTGGAGATTTTTTTAAGACCATAGAAAGCAGCTCTGCATTTGTTACTGATGTCAGCGGCCATATCGCACTTATTATCAAAAATTACTCCTAGGTTTTTAACCTCGTCCTTTACCGTGACCATACTCTTTCTGATTTCTAATTTTTCTGCATCTTTAGAAAAACGAGAGGTAAAGTGACTACTTCTGTTTTGCCATCATTGAAAACATGTAGGCATGACAGTACCGGTAGTTTTCAGTTATGTCAGATCACCAGGGACCCCCCTCCCCCTTAAATCATAGCCCTTTAGATAGAAGTAGTGTCTCACAATGAGGTATTACACACAGGATTTTGGAAGTTTTTGTGATTCTTTGATTTTGCTATTTCCTTGTGTTTTTAATTGGATATTTTTGTGTATTCTACTTTGTATAAAAACTGATGATTTCACCAACATGCGCAGGTACAATGTATGAAGTAAACAGATACAGCTACTAGTACATATCTTTCATTGGTATTGAGCTAAATGTCTGCAGGGAGTTATTCCGTTGTAGCATGCTTAGATAAATGTCAGTCTGGAAAACTGAACACAAGAACTCACTTACTTCATGACAAGCCAGCAGATGAGATCACTGGCAACATAAGCTCAAGAATATAGAGAGCACCTGTGTCTTCAGACAAGAACTGTTTTTAGTAAATCATGTTATTCAAGACTGAGGAAAGCAATTGATATACATCTTTTTGTATGGAAGGTGAAACAAAACATGTAAGCCAAATGGGTTTTCTTTATTGCACATCCAGTATCATACCAGCACATGTATTTGCAATGGTAAATGTCCATCCAAAGGATCAGCCATCTCATCCTAGAATTTTTTATAATACAGGCTTGAGCCTTCTCTTTAACAAAGAAGATTGCTCCTGACAGCCATCCATCATACATGTTGGAGATATGTAGCACCATCAATTGCTTATATCTGAAAATGCTGAAGGAAGTATGATAAACAATTCATTATGATATAGAGTGTTCATACATCTTATCCCCCCCCCCCAAAAAAAAAAAAAAAAAAAGAAAGAAAGAAAAAAAGGAGGGTACTGTAATCTGGTTGTATCTTTTTTTCATCCTTCTGTGGGTGTTTTGTGGTTAGACCATGTGGTCACCCTGGGATGCAGGACAGATGTTTTTACATGTCTGTCAGTGTAATGCAGTAGTACTGTATCTCTATCTCATCCCTGTTTTCTATTTTTCTGGTGACAAAAGTGATAATTGGGGAAAGGAGGGTGTTTATAAGACTTTGTGACAGATTTTAATAGTTAAAACCTCACTTCTGAACATAAGTAGTAAAAAGTAAAGAATATAGTCAAAGTATTTTTTATTTGAAATTAATTTGGAGTCTGGAAGGCAGTCATTAGTGTTCAAATCTTTTCTCTTTCAAGTTCAGTCTTCTAATCCTATATAAAAAGTGTACCCATTATTTTACAAGCTGTGTTTAGGTGGAAGGTAGGGTAATTATGTTGTCACACATTGTGTGTCACACCAGATATAGGCAGTCTAGTTGCACAGTGTGACCACAGCAGTTACCTCTCATATCACAGGGGCCTCTAAAAGGTGGACAAAATTGAAGAATAGCCCCCTGTAGGATCTCACCCAATCATGTCTACTGTAATGTAACTACCCCACCTGTACCAATGCCTTAAACAGGGACTCATCAGCAGAGAAAGATGACTTTTTGGGTTGGGTGTAATCACTCAGCTCGGCAACTGGTTGAAATGCACTACTCAACACCTACCTGTGAAATCCCCCTCCCCCTCCCCTCCTAAATCCCCTCACTCTGACCTAAGATCTAATAAACGGATATATAGTATATTAGATCTTAGCTCTGACAAATACAAAGGGTATGTTTGATGAGGAATATGTTCCTCTTTACCATTTCAGTCTGTTACAATGATTTTGTAACAGACTACTAGTGGACCTGTGGTCAGAGAGTACAATGTAGGTCACAGTTGTCAGGATCATTTTTGCACTGCAAAAAGTGGCTATAACTTAAAGAATTCCTTGTAGTTTATATTGATAATGATTGGCCACAGGTATAAATCACTGATAATTGTATTTTTGGTTTCAGTTTTTTTTGCTGACTGACATATGCCATGGCCATGAATATTATCAAAGTCATTGAATTTCTTTCATTTTTATGTACATCAGTGAGAACAAATGGCAACCATCATTATTATAATGTCTCTTGTTCCAGTATTCCATACTTTGAGACAAGTGCTGCTACTTCACAAAATGTTACCAAAGCCATTGAATGTCTCCTGGACAAGGTGATGCTGCGTATGGAACAGAGTGTAGACAAGACGGCAGGGGGCAAAATGGGGAAAAATGGAAAGAAAGGTGTGGAGCTGGAGGAGGCAGACAGGAAAAGTGGATGCAGTTGTTAACCAGGTGGCAACACCCAGGGAATTAAGAAGACAGCTGTCTGAATAGGATTTTATGAAAAGAGAGCTGATTTATATGTCCTGTTTTCTGTGGGGGAAGACAGTTGCAGATGCTCATTATAAAAGAAAAAAAGTAATCAGACCTACATTTACATATATTATATTTATACATAACATTTTGCACATTCCTTTTCACCTAGGAGGAAACCATTAAAATAACACATTAACTAAGAATTCCAGTATCAATTTAAGTCCTTGAGAAACAATTTTGACAAGTTTGAAATATGTTTTATTACTTTACATTGTGTATTCCATTTGCCAGGAAGATAATTATTTCCATTTGAGGTCATGATCCTACTTTATTAAAAAAAGTAATCATCTCTTAGTCCTATCTATTAAATCCACTAAATGTTAATTATATTTATGATATTCAGGTTGTGGTTCATGTAGCAGTGTGAAATTAGCTGATCCATGTTTTCATTTCTTTTCTTTTTTTTTTGTTCTTTAAAAATATTCCATTGGTACAGATATAGCCACAGGCCTGTATTGCTCTGCATACATGTAGAAAGTGGGGCTATGACATCCTTATGTGTCAGTGTAACAACTGGATTTGTTACAAATAATACCCTTCCATTCATGTGGTTCTTCTGGAAGTAAACAGGGTCCTTGTCCACAAAGATCTTTTCCTGTCACCAAGTGATATTACGTATATATATATACATGCATCTGTGTCTGGATGTTTTGTTTTTTGAAAGTTATTCTTTTTTAAGTATTTTCTTCTTTTAAGTATCTTTTATGTTTGAAGACTGCTGGTTAAAATGCATTTTTTTCTGTTTTTGTAATAATGTGCGATTGTGTTTAATTTCTAATGGTGTATTCTCAGTCTACCGTCATTCGTGGCAGATGACCTTTGTACAGCAGGATCTCAGCAGACCTTTTAATCACAATGTCTGACCCCCCCCCCTTCTTGGGCAATGAAAATGCCTAAAAACTAGAATATTGGCAGTTGACAGAACAGTGGAAGGAGTAGACTGGCTCACTAAGGTTATGTGGGTCTGCTGAAGGATTAGACATGCTTCTGGAGGTTAGATATTGTGATCACATGGTCTGCTGGGATAGCACACTGCTTAGTGAACTAAACCATCATTAGGCTACTTGAATGTGATGACAAACATAACACCCAGAAAGGTCCACAACATTAACTAGAATGTGGTGGGAATGATGATCATTTTTCCATATTTTCCATTTTTTGTTTGCCGCAATTGATTAGCATTTAAAGAGTGTTATTAAAGCATGTACTGGTAGTGACAAAGGTGTTTTTTACCAGTAGAGAATTGAGGACTAATGGTGAGATGTACAATGCAGTTACCCAGTTTTGATAATGCATAATTAGGTGTTGGAAGATGTCTCCAATACCTGGCTGTGCTGAATATAGCAGAACAGGATGTAATTACTGAGGATTGAGGTCTATTTCTTCATGCATGTATGCATATTATTCAACATGAATGATTGGAGCAGGTTTTCTTCGGCATCAATAAAGACTTATTATAGATTTTTCTCAATTACTTCACTTTGTTGAGGCAAAATAATGCTTTGGATTGAACTCTAATTGGAAAGGAGAGTTAAGAGTTTGAAATCTCAGGTGTCATAAAAAGCCGGATAAGAATGTATTTCTATAAGTATGTATAGTAAATCCTTTAAATTGCAGCTGGGAAATAATCATTTAATTAGCATTTTTGCAAGGTATATTGCATGTAATAACAGCTGAGCTTTGAAAAATTAGTGCAATTGAAAATCCCTTTCAGTGATCAAGATGAAATGTAAAACATGTTAAAAGCCAGTTTTGTTAATGTTATATGTTATATTTTGATATATGATATACTTTTCTAGGTTGAGGTTTTTCAAAATCTTATATACAGTCATATTTTTTCACACAAATCTTCCATCTTAACAGAATTTAATATTGCTATACAGTCTATATCTTGGTAATGGTGTTATAGTTTCTAGCCAATTATTTAAAGCTTATAAAAGTAACGTATCTATATATTGCATAAAAAGCTTCCTCATTCCTATGACAGACACTGTATACATGTACCTACAAAGTGCTAAATACTGTAGGTGTTTAATATATTCTTTAAAATATGATGTAATTTAGGTAATATGTGCATTTAGTAATTTAGGAATACTTTATATTTCACATATTTGAAAAGACGAGTTATAAAATTTGAAAAAAAAAGTAAGTGAAGGGAATGTTTTTTAGTATCGTAAAATTTACGAATTCCATTCAGCGAAACTTACAACTGATAGTTAATATGTCAAAGAGGGAATGTGGTATACAGCAGAGCTCTGCATACAATTAACGTTACATAGAAATAGCTCGTTGGACGATGTGATTGCGACATTGCCTATATTATATAGCAAACGCATTCCTGACGATTGACAGGGCTGGGTTTACTTTTATTGTTCAACGGGGACGAAACGTGTAAATCTGCGAAAAACGGCAGAATGGTAACAAGATGAGAGCTAGGATAATGTCCCGCCTGGTTCATACCGAAGGGTTATTGGACCTTTGGTTTGATATGCTGCCTCCTCATGAACGCAATGATATTTTAACGCTTAAGGATACTCGTGGAATAGCACTTTAACTGTTGCTTGTATTTTATTGGGACCCGGTCACCGAAGGTTAACCCGGAACAGTGAAAACATATTTCTAACTTACGACACTGGAGACTTATTTTTTCTTTTTCAAAGGTGTATTTCAGTTATCAATAAAAAATACATGCAAATTTAAGGGTGTATGTTTCTGGATTTATGTCTTATTTAAAAAAAATACTTGTCAAATGAAACATGAACATCCTAATTGACATGTGACTATTTCATTTTCTGGTTCGATTCCAGTACTTCGATGTTGCGAGCATCGATTGCGTGTATTTTTTTATTTGTTTCAAACTCTCATACAAGCACATATTTGTACTGTAAACAGCAACGAACTAATTTAATATATTCAATTTATTTCTAAACTACTGATTTTGATCACTTGTATGCCAATTTATTCCAACGTTCTCCAAAACGTTTAGTTTTGTCTCCCTTACTTAGGTCAGAAACGCTCGCCGGAAAAGTTGCAGTCTTCTTCCGCTCACCGCGCTCCTGTACACCAGCGCCCGGTTGCACCAACAGGGCGTAAATTTACTCGGCTACGACTGTCGTAAACCGCAACGCCTGGCGTCCGTGCGCCAGGTTTACTCTCCCTGCTTACGCCCGTTGCACCAAGACAAAAACTGATAGTCGTAACTACGCCCGAGTAACGTTCCGTTGCGTCACTGGCCAACAATACGTGAATGGTATAATTGGGCAAATGAGGAGTTCTCAGCTTTAGTCATTATGGAATGATGACATAAATAAACATAAAAGGAGCATTTCAGAGACGGAGAAATTCATAAGCTACCATATTCAATTTAGATTTAGAAATAAGAACGTTAAAATACGTTAACTTTGCTGTTGTCTTGGATATATAGCAATAAAATCGTAAATATATTCCGAATCAAAATATTATTATAGTATGCTATTATAGTATGCTGTTGTAAATGAGGAAAACGCGTTGGAGGCAGTACGTATTTCTTTTAGTGGATTTGAACACCTTCACATTTGTTATTGAAATTTTTGAGTCTGAAAATAATGCAAAAACGCCAACATTGCTCTCTTTTTTATAATTTTACAACAGTGCCGACAATTTCATGACCTTCTTATCTGTGACCTTCTTATCCGTGAGGTATCATTTAATTCAATCGAGCTTACATCTTGGAGATTAAGAAAAACAAGAGACCTAATACATATTATATGAGCCTTAAAATGTTGATATTTTAAGCTTTCGTCTCTATGTTTATATATAGTAAAATATGGATGATATAAAATGTGAAGAAAGAATGACTATGCTTAGTTATGGTTTGTCAAAAAATTTTGAAGAGAATTAAAGAAACCGTACTGCTGAGAGCCAAGACGTACCTACATGAGTGGTAAGATTTAATTTGAACATATGCATATACAGGTACATGGCTACACATATAATGTATTTAGTAATCACTTATATATATATATATATATATATATATATATATATATATATATATATATATATATATATATATATATATATATATATATAATTAGTTATTTAAAAACCAAGCTATACAGACGGAAGTTTTTAGTTAGAAACAAACAAATAACAACCCACATTTTCTACGTTAATTACGATAATTGTCATCAACCTCTCTATGTGCTTGCCTAGCCATAGTGGAAAACGAGCTACGACCGACTTACAACACCTAGCTGGCAGGCGTAAATTTACGACTAAGTTAAGACCGACGTAAACACTATTCTAGTTTGGTGCAACTGGCTTTACTCGGGCGTAGCGTTTTGCGCCCGGTTTACGCCGGCGCAACTGCTACGCCTCGCTTACGACCGGTTGGTGCAACCGGGCCCAGGGCCCCGTAACTCGAAAGCATCGCGCATTGCCACCGAGCGCAAGCGTCTCGATTCCATAACTCGCCCATACTTGCCACATAAAATACATTGTAGCCTCTGTGTGATATCGCTGTTCGCAATGCACGGTGCTTTCGAGTTACGGGCCCAGGTACGCTTAGTTCACAGAACCTACGAACAACTCTCCCGATGAAGAAATAAAGCATCACCCATCGAAACCCGTTCTCTTTTATTGCCTGGAACTGGCACAAAATAGAAATAGGTTGGACAGTTCATTTTCCGAAAGGTTGGGCTGCAGATAAGTTTGTGCCTTTACAGTTTTTTCAGGGGGTCGGGAAAAATTTGGTACATGTGGAATTAATTTTGTCAACCAGTAGCATGTCACTGAACCTTTTTNTCCTGAAGTAAAAACTCGATAAGTCTGGCCTTTTTTCACCAAGTTAACCAAATAGCATTATGCAGTTTGCTTCATTATTGTTATTATTATTAGCATTAAAATTGCATCAACTAATATGAAAATACGCATATAGTGCATGAAATTGGCCTTTTTTAATTATAACCAATATCAGTGCTTGTTACAACATCTTGGCTTAGGATTAAGATTAAGATTTAGTAATGCTATCATTATACATGTAGTCTATACAAAAAGTCGCAATAATATTTCAGTACCGTCTTGACGTGTTTTTTTGTGATAACTTAACACTAATGTAATCGAATTGGCATCATATAAAAATATGCTTGCTAATCAATTTCACACTCAGGTCGCTCATAATAAAATGTACTTTAAAATGACTAAATCTATTTGAAGTTCTCGGCCACGCTTTTAACCCAGTCATTCAGTGTTGTAGGTTCTTTTCCAGTAACCTCCTTCAACTGATCTGGGTCACCTGTATGTGTGCCGTCATCTATCGTCTTGTACAGTTCCAGGAGTCCGTCTACCTGCCATTCAGGGAAACCCTTTTCCAGAAATGCCGTCTTGGCGTCCTCGTATGGTACCTGCGAGTACGTAACTTCCTTTCCCAAGGCTTCTCCAAAAGCGGTTGCTACGTCGGAGAACGAGTGCTTATCACCACAAAGGGTATATGTTTTCCCGGCATGGTCTTTGGGATCAGACAAAATTACCGCTGCAGCCAGACCCACATCTTTCACTACCACTGGTGTGTACGACTGAGCGGGGTCCGCTGGCGAATAGATCGCACCCTGATCTTTTATGGACTCTTTGAACAGGAAATAATTATCGACAAACATCGGCAATCGCAAGAAACTGAATGGGACGTCCATTTTCGCAATGGTTGATTCTATTTCTGAAAATTGCTTGCCAAAAATAGTATCGGTTTTATCAGCCGTCAAGACACTGACCACTAGGAGATGTTTCACCTGAGCTTTTTTGGCCGCTTCTGCAGTTGCAACCGCCTTCTGTGCGCGATCTTCAGAACCGGGGGTAACAATGAAGAGAGCGTCGACTCCCTTTAACACCTCCTCCAGGTCTTCTGCCCCCATTTCTGCCTTCACGACAGTGACGCCTTTGATGGCTGTCAACTTTTCAGCTTTAGAAGGATCTCGAACTCCCGCTCGAATATCCACTTTGTCACTGTAGTTGTCTGACAAGGCTTGCAGGGTGGCGCTTCCAACATTACCACTGGCGCCGATGACCAAAACGATGGGTTTGTCTTTAGCAGCTGAAAAAAATGAAAGACAAAATGAATTATCCCTACGTTAAATGAAAATTATCCCTAACCACCTGTGGGTATTGCAAATCCCCTGTGGAGCCGGTGAGACAGGTATAAACAGACCACAAAAAATTATTTTTGAGTTTGTTTAAACTAACTGGCTTAATTTTCACACTAACGGTGTTCTCCCAAATGTAGATATTCTTAACCGAAGATGGAAGATAATAAGAAATGCTGAGGGCTTTCTTCGCTTATTTCAATTTGTTATGAACAGGGATTATTACAAGATGCAATGACTGTCTTAGAGCTAACAGCATCACTGAAAATACCTGTATGATTTCAGTGCGGGTAATTTTTATGATGGGTGACACAAAAATTATGTCATCCTTTACGACCTACCCCCTTTGTAAAATGTACGATGCATGCTCGTAAACAGCGGTGATCACTATAATCTGTTATTTTTCTTTCTGACTCTTCTAAACTAAAATATCGAGTGCCTGGCATTAGCGGTTACCCCAGACCCTGCTGTTCGTCTTTTTTCGGTAGGCTGAATGCCTATCTATTGGGGGAAATATACGGGAATGCATGCTAGTATATTGAGTCGGTCTTGAAAGAAAACGTGTTCACGTTTACTTTAAAGTAGCCACAGGTATTTTGGCATTTTTTAAAGTAGGCTGAGTATTAAGGGCAGATATGTATAGTGTCCATACATTTCAATTTCCATTTTGCACCTATTACGCCTATTTAATCGTTTGGATGGCTTGACTGATGTTGTACACTACATATATTTAAGTGTTGGTTGTCAATCTTAAGCAGATGCAAATATTCCAATTAACCTTTTATGTGCCAAGTATCTTGATGCGCTGAATTACTTGCCTTTAGGTACCCCTTTGTTGCATGTGTTGTGAAAATGTGGACTTATCAAGATCTCAGATTCATGTGATGTTATCACAACTCTGACTATCTTTGTTCACCTAAAGAGGGGCGTAGTGATCTTAAGCATTACAAGGATGACGCGATCGCGTGTAGCAACTAAGTAGAGTCGAAGGGCAGCATTGCTCAACCTACATATAGACGAATGTTCCTTGTCAATATTACACGTTTATTTTCATGCGCTACAGATTCTGTGGATGCTTTATTTCAATATACATGTGCTTTGACCGGGGAAGAATTAAAATCTGTTACCTGCATCATCTTTTGTTTGTTTCTCTGTTGCTTCCGTATTGAGTTCGGCCTTGCCAGATGAACTGGAGATGCAACCTGAAAATTAATAATAATTTTTTGTTATAGAATGATATTTTTGTTGTTAATTAAATAGACTACTATGTACTCGATAAAGCCTACATGTTTCCGACAAGAAAATCAACTTCGGATCATTCTCATCCTTAAAATCCCTTTAAATAATATACTTCATTTGTGGGGTTGGGTCGGCTTGTATTGTATTTCAATTTATTCCAAATTACTCCACCCGCCCCACCTTGACTTCTGCCCTACTTATGTATTAGTATACCACTGTCACACCATCTCGTACAACTCCATCAATTACATGTATTAGTCTGTCAGCTGTCTTTCTGCTCTATGTCTTATTGTCCTTTATACTATAATATATTTGCGTGAGGAACGCCACGGGAAACACGCGTCTTCAAGAGTAATCTTTTAAGTGGTTTTAAGATTTATGGTGTATGGTCCAATTCCTCCCATCCCTGAGGAAAAATGTCTTTAAATTGTCCAAACCTTTAAGGTGTACATTGTTTGTTAATTTAAAACTGCAATGACACTAGTACCGCCATCCCTCCCCTATAGATGCCTAAGCTTTCTTGATACATATCTGGCTCATGTGTAACCGCCGGCTTACTTGCAACCGTATAAAACAACCATTATCTGATTAACATTTATCATTGGATCTCAATTGTTCATTGTTCTGCTACATGTACACGTTGAAGAGATACTAAAATAGCTGACATAAATGTCTTTTGTAACATACCATTTAATACAGCTTACCTGGGTGTACTGAGTAATAGAATTACACAAGACTTGTCATAATGCATCTATGTGAATGATAAAAATACGATGTTGTTTTGAATGTTATGTAATGTCGGATTATACTATGCTATTCTATACACTGAGTCACTTCTTGTTCATAGCATCCTTAAGCCTTAACTCTTCGCAAATGTATTCGCTGCTTATCACGGCAAATAAAAAAGAACAACATTGCAAAAAATGGCCATGCACACTCCACGTAGAACTCACCCATTTTGGTCTTGTTCAAGTCTCGACTGCTCTGTCCTCAAGTTCACAGGTGTCTAGCTGTCGTTCTCTCACCTATGTTGAAGACGTTCCGTCCCTGGAGGAATTCGGCTGTGCTATTGCGAAGCTGGAGATGAGTCCTTGCCTGCAGTGACGCAGTGCGTGTAATGCATTGAAAGTGGGACTTCGTGTCACCGCAGAAACAACGCGGGGATCATTAGGGGGCGCTGGCGAAGTTGGTGGATGATTTAATATGCATACATAATACCTATGGTTACTAAAATGGCAGATGGGGGCTGCTTAGTCATTTAGCTGTTTGGCTTTCTTAAGTTATTGGTAAAAATAAAAAAAGAAAAAATCGCAAGAAGTTAAATTGTTGCTTTATCATTGGACGAGGTAATATGTGCTCTCATTTTGATGGAATTGAAGGACCCTGTTTATCCAAAAACATCAGTGATACCTTACATCATAAAATGCCATGTAGTTTCCAATCCAGAGGTAAAGTAACTTGAGGTCATGTAAAGTAGTTAGACATAATGAACTGCAGTCACGCTACTAAGATACAGAAATAACACTGAACACACACGGGTACATATACCCGTGCGACAGACATCCTCGCCGTGCCCTATAATGCTGATAAATTTTCATCTAACTATTCAGCTGAACAGATTGATACAGTACATGTATCCCGAAGGCAGAATACGTAAACCCAAAATAATCACTAATTCATAGCATGCTGCAGGGCAAATACAAAGAAAGCAGAGAAGTCGTTTTGCTGTAAGAAAAATGTATTGGCAGAATTTTTTCCATAGAATTGTAAGTATGGCCTACTGTAGATGTGCGACAGTCGATAAAAAAGGTTTCGTCTTGGAGGTTGAAAATTAATAAGGAGAACATTTTCTTACTACGAAGCATTCGTTAGGTATTTCTGTCAATCCAACAATTAAACCGACAAAGGGGGTCATTCAAGAGAGGAAATAATATTTCAAAGAGCTTCCGGACGGCGATTAGACATGTATCAGAGAGGTACCCCTGTAGGAAGGTTCATGTGACGTCATGCTCATCGACTCAACCTGCTTGTCAACAGAAAGGGCCAAGATGTCGTAGAGAAATATATTGAAACATGGAATCCTATCGGAAATACTGGGATGGAATTACGCCAATATTCCATGGTGAGGCGAATATTAACTCACAGAAAAACATTGAGACTTTACCGCTCATATAAATTCTAGTTAAAATTACCAGTTAAAAACCTACATTTTGCAGAGCACGGACAATGTGATTTGGAAGTGACGCCGGTGCAAAGGATCAATATTGGGGGATTAGCTCTAAGTATCTGCTTATTGAGACTGGAAGAGGCTAGGACTGGGAGGGGGGGGGGGACCAGTAGGCTCAGATTGAAATTGCTTGTAAGCGATTTAAATTGAGATAAATATACATGTATATCAAATAAGGTACAGTCATAGACATAAACAAGGAACCACTCCGTTACATAAATAAATAAATAAATAAATAAATAAATAAATAAATAAATAAATAAATAAATAAATAAATAACAGAATAGTCACATATATTTAGAACTAACATAAACGAGCTTAGTTTGATATTAAAACATTGGTGATTTCATTAAGTTCTGTGAAAAGTCAAATATTTTTCCGCTTATGATGTATGGATTATAAGTACTAAAATAGACGCTAAAAATAGACCTAGTTGGATAATAGGAATGGAAGTCCGGGGTCCCATATGATTAGTACAGGTAATGGTTATTCAGAGTATTGGGGTTAGTATATGGGACGATGTCACCTGTAAAATGTAATGGGGAACGGACTGCGGTTCCTAGCAGACTACAATTCCTGTCACACCAGGAATCCCTGCAGCAGGTATATGCGTTTGCTACCTGGGCGTCTCTACTCTCTGATGCCCTGTCACCGCGGGAGAACGTTCAACACAACAAACAGAAAAATGTGATAAAACAAATAAACTGCAGGAAGTTGAATGTTTATAAAATGTTTTGGGTGTAATTTTTGAATAGATTTATTTAGAAGCGAGTTCCGGGGAAAATAGGTCTACAATTTCATACTAGGTTTTGTCTTATGTACATAAACACGGACTTGGTATCGATTTCAAAATATTTATTTTACCAATTTTCTTCCATTTCTTTTTCTCCACTTTTCTTTCTTTCCTTTGGAACTCTATAATGTAAACCGAATGCTGACCAATAAATAATCTGCAACTCGTTTTTCGTTATTTTCTCACAAATCGTTTATTAAAGCATCGTACCATTTTCTCATGTGAGCGCAGACACCGAGGCGCAAGGATTGCGTTATTGTATTCATGAACAATAAGAAAAACTAATTAAATAATATGAAAGTCTGAATGACTATAACCCTGAATATATGTATATCTGCTATTAAAATGAGTCTACCAAAGAAAAGTAACTTTTTAAATAAAGTATACCATACTCAAACATCCATACTCGTACATCTCTAATATTAGTCAGTGTGTCATGTTTAGCAGCCAGCATCATCCATGTGTTTTCCTTTTCTCTGACTGAATTGTTTCGAAATGATCTGTCTTAAAACATGCACTGGTATTATGGTACATTTTTTATTCCATATTCTGCGCTTCGAAGAAAAGTTACTCTGTTTTAAGAACTAAAAAAACTGTTCTCTAAGTTTAAACGCTTAATTTGAACAAGGAAGTAGATGTCTGCAAGTCTTCCTTGTTTAGAGAAAGTACGCTTGTAACGTTTATGTTTTTTTAAATAGGTGAACGAGTGCTTGCACATTACACATTTTTTTCTGCACAGCAAAGTAGCAAAACGAAACTACATGTAAAAAGCGTTTTTAATGGTGATATGTTGTAGGCTATTTGAAAAGAGTACAGAAAAGCAGGGGGCCATAATTTGTTTCAACGTCACTTTTGTTAAATTATCTCTTATTAGCATATATAAATACAAGGGTACACGTGGTGTCTCAGCGATTTATTCGAAGTAGTCGAACTGAAGACAAGTGACATGTATCCAGACTACACTGGACCTGAAATAACAAAATATTCAATATCCGTTAGGGGTTTTCTTTGAAGTATATTTCATTACATTGTTTCGAAACGCAATGAATCAATACATTATATACAAGTATAACTTGAATATTGAGGTACAGACAACGGCGGCTCCAAAGGGGCCCAATGGGCCACGTCCTAATTTTTTTCTCTCCCTTCTCCCCCCCCCCCCCCCCCCCCCCCAACAAACAAGCATTTTCCCATCTTTGTACCTTACCTATTACATTTAAATATCTTCGTCTATCATACATGCGTTTACCCAGTGATAGGCCTATCTTCCGAGCAAAGTGATGCATTTTAGTTCTTTGTTCAGACCTAGCAAACTTTTGGAACCACCATTGCCAAAACCTTGTAACTTGTTGAAACTACAAGTTGATATTTTTATTGTTCACTTTGAACAACGTTTGACGTTTTCGACTAATTGCTTACATTCGCGTATGTGTGATAACTCACTTAATGGTGTACGGATACGAAAGCAATGCATGTCCCCCAGGAACGGATGTTTTACATACATGCATTACTGCGGACCTCCGTTCCCTTCACACTGGTACGAGCATGTTTACCTACCGTGTTCAAGGCACTCTTCTCCTATGTAACAGTTCCCGTGAATGAGGCATACACCCGGCTGAAATAAAAAAAAACCCAAGAAATAGCCTACGTCGAAAAGAATATCAAAACACATAAAGCTGTATCGTTACTTAAGAGATAAGGGATACCTAGCGTATACGACGTAATTCTTACGAGCTCCTTGCATATGTCTGCGTATGGACAGTTTTTCTCATACGTTAGTGCTATACGCTAGATGTGACAGTGTCGTAAGGTATGAGAAAACCGCCCATACACAGAAAAATGCAAAAGATTTGTTAGACTCAAGTCGTGTACCTTCTGTGTACATAGACATACAGGGTTACCACTAATATGGAATATTATTTTTTGGCGAGTAAATTTTCTACAAAATATTTAATTTCTCTGTAACTACTTTAAATCCAAAGCTGAGGTCTCACTCCATGTGTAGCCAGGTGTGTTACCTAATTACCACACAGCTCTCGAAACAATTGATGCATGCAGTTGCATGTTCTGCGGTCAGAAATGTGAGGGGTGGTCTTTTCGGCAATTTCTGCCCTTGTATAAAAACGCATGGGTTTGGTCAATCTTTGGAGTGTGTTTAGAGAAGCAAGAAAGGGATCGCTCTGAAACTTGACAGGTACCTTAGTGAAGATATTGTTCGACAGCTAAGCAACGCAGCTTACTACGGGATTCTTGCTCTCAGAGAAAATGGCCAGAAACGGACAGCCATTGCCAGGTAATTCAACATTTATCAGGAACCGTTTGTGAAGTCCTCCAAAGAAATGCTGCAACAGTGGCACCTACTCCAATTCCTCAACCAGGGTGTCCGCGTATCACACCAAAAAGACTGGATCGCCTTCTCCTTAGAGGACGCCGTGCTGGTCGTACAAAGACAACCAGTGTCCTCAGAAAAGAGAGGCAGAATGTCATTCAAACTCCCGTTTGAAGGTCCCACGTGAACAAGATATTTCTGCAAGCCGGTTACTTTGCACGAAGGCCAGTAGTGAAACTACTGTTAACAGCAGTTCATATACAGCGACGTCTGCAATGGGCTGGGGACCACGTGCGTTTGCAGCCAAAACACTGGAATCACGTCGTTTTCAGTGATGAGGCCAGAAATGGATTTTTTAGGGTTGATCGTCGAATCCGTGTCCACCGACGTGTACGAGGGGCATAAAACAATGATTGTGTACTGCCTAGGGTGCAAGCAGGGGATGGTAACGTCTCTGTTTGGGGAGGATTTCATGTCGGTGCCCAGAACCAGTTGGTTTTTCTAGGAGGCAACCTCATCCAGGATTCCTACAGAGACATTCTACAGCAAACAATGCTTCGATTGGTAAGAGTCATCTTCAGGAACAATTTTGTGTACCAAGACGACTGGGCAACCCCACATCGAGGCCGCAGAATCACTGTTTTTCTTCAAAACCAATGGGTTCAGCAACTGCCCTGGCCTGCAAACTCTCCAGATATGAACCCAATTGAAAATCTGTGGGCGGAAGTAACTCACAGAATTAATAGCTATGGTCCTCGGCCGGTAAATAGTGATGAACTGCGATAGGCAAATATCACTGCGTGGAATGATATCCCCACCCAAACTCTAAAAAACGTGTCACAGGGTATGCCATGTAGGATGAGAGTGCTGCAAGCGGCTGCTGGAGGTCACACCCGCAATTACTGACTTTTCATGATTTACTGTAGTGAGTTCATTGACTGTGTAACATATCATTGTCTGGAGGCTATCATTTTCTTTAATAACTTATCTTAAAGTTTATACTGACATCAAACTGTTGATATGGTTTTCTGGGGGTGTTCCTTTCTTTTGAATGGCATCTTATGTCAGATTTGATATTATTGACCAAAATATCTCACAACAGAAGACTGGATGTTATTATCACTCAGTGACATACTTTTTTAATGACTCAAGCCAAAAAAATTTTAATCAGCACTCAAAAATAACAATGATAAAAAATATTCCATATTAATTAGCAACCCTGTATGTTGGAGTATGTTTCCATACTCAGAGGATGTTCAAAATCTTAATTTCAGTGGATATATACGAGCGAATGAGTCATGCGTTACCCGTAGGCCTACCAATACGCCAGCACGACCAATGCGTTATGGAGACACGATAAAGATACGTTACAATATGTTTTTCATCTTTATCCTGCAGTGCTTGTCACCTTTCCCTATTGAGACCGTAACACGAAAAAACCCTCAAATTAAAATTAATCTGAAGCGTATTTGCTTCTGAACCTAAAACAACGCAAGACTCAGGCCGTGGCATGTCGCCACTTCACGCGAGAAATCAAACCCTTGACGTCATACGAGCTACAGGACCACAAAACAAAACTTCGCAGCCATTTCCTTGCTATGAAGTGAATACGCGGTTACTCCCTATTCTATGCAGTAGGCCTACGTGTCTTGTATGATGTCAGGAATATGGATGGTTATCTAAATGTTACGGCTAAAAATTAAAAATATATTTTTAATTACTATTTTACAAAACTTCGAATTCAAGTGCAGGGACTGGCCAAGAAATGGATCGTAGGCCTACTCGAAAAAAATACGATTTGGCGAGGAACCGCCGGATGGGATAGCTTTAATGCTTCACCTGTAAGTAGCATTATGCATGTATAGAGGCCTTAGTGCATCCATTCTCAAAATCAAGTATAAAAGCAGAAATATCTAAATATCGAAATATGCAAGGAAAAGTAATGCACGAATATATATATACACTCGTTAATGTCGGGCAAATTTGAATATTGTAACACAGGGTGCCTTACCCTAACTTTGCACCAGACATA